TAATTAGCAGATCGAGAGTGTGTCCTCTGCTTGTGGGTGGGGCCACTCACATGCTGAGTGAGACCAAAGGTTTCCAGCACAGAGCTCAGCTCTTTCGCGTCATCTATCATTAACGTTATCTATACATGTAATATTAAAATCACCTATGACGACTAAACTATCAAAGTCTGTGCACACAACTGAAAGCATCTCGGTGAAATGAGCAGTGAAACTATGACATGACTGTGGCGGCTTGTACACAACAATAATAAGAATAGAAGATTGTTTTTGTTCTATTTTAAAAGAGACATACTCAAATGAGGAAAATTTCCCAAGAGGTACTCTATGGGAGACAATACAATCTTTAAAACCTGCTGCTGTGCCTCCTCCTCTTTTATTTTCTCGAATTATCTGATTCAAATTTGAAATTTGGTGGTGTTTGTTATCTATTAAAACTGCATTTTCTGTATTATGGTCAAGCCAAGTTTCAGTCATAAACATAAAGTTAAGATCATAAGAAAAGATACAATGTATTAATTAAAAAGGATTTATTGCATAGTGATCTGACATTGAAGCAGAGCAAGGTTAAAAATCAATGTCAGTGTCAGTGGGTTTAGTTGATTGACTTACAAAGAATTGGAATTAGATTTCCTGAGTTGGACCGTCTAACTGCCGTCCTTCTGTTATATTTGTGTTTATTCAAATTAAACCACATTTCTGAGCCGGTGCGAGGAACACACACAGTCTCTATTGGTTTAAAAATCTTAAGTGTTTAACTCTGTTTTACTTTGTTAAGTTCCAGATGCATGGCTGAGTAAGCACCGTTCAGTGGCAGGACTGGTATTACACTGCCAGACGGACAGGGGTCCAGTGTTTGCACCACAGTACTCACCCGTGCTGGAGTGGAGGAGGAAGGTGGTAGTGGGGGCCGAGAGGCCTCGGATGTAAACAGTCACGCCCCCCTCGGGGGAGCACTGAACAACATGGCGTAAAAAGTCCATCAATAAACTGGTACCGTATCTGTTCGGGTGCAGACCGTCTGGACGATAGGCCACGTGACGCTTCCAGAAGAGGCCAAAGTTGTTCACAAAAACAAAGTTAAAAGTGCTGCATGCAGACTGGAGCCACATATTCAGCGCCACAACGCGACTGTCACCCCGTTTTACAGTCGGTGACTGGACCAGAGATAAAAACACACAACCCAGAGGACTGGAGAGACGATGTCACTATTTGACTATTTGAGCTGTCAGCTAATTGGCTGAGAGAGGGACTTCCTCTGTTTTTCACTTTTCTGTCTGCAAAAGCTGATCTAAAGATGTAAAAGAGGCCAAAGATACATGCGTGTAGAAACTAGTGATAGAACCAAAAAAACGTTTCAAAATCAGGCTTAAAATTTTAAAACCTCAAATGAACCTCTTCACATCCACCTAATTTTGCCCCTCCTCGCCTGGTAATACACCTTTGGAAAGAAACATGTACTTTTGTCATGGTCTACTTGATAATAATGTAAGAACGCACAGTGAAGGTCGTTCAGTAATAATAATACAAAAATATAAATATATATATTATTTGACATTTACATAAATCTGTGTGAGATGTCAAAGCTTTAGGTCAAAATTCACGGAATAGGTCCATATCAGAGAGTTATTGTCATATTTTGGGGCAATATTTTAAGTAGGTGCAATTTGGTATAGCAAAAAAACATTAAAAGTCAAAAAATTATGGATGTTTAGAGCTTTTAATTTTCATTATATGAAATGTTTTTTAGAATTTATTCTATTTTGGTTTACCCTTAACTTGGGTGCCTGCATGTTGGGTGCAGATGTTGACCCGAACTCCTCTTTTATTCCCAAATTTTGGACTCATTTGAATATTGTAGAAATAAAATAGAAGCATCTAAAAAAGGGAACTTCCTATTATTACTGGAAGCCCACGGGAGACAGCGCAGGATGAGAGATGAGAGACGATGGCAGGAATGTCTTTGTTAAAACTCTGGCAGCAGCCTCTGACGGATCGTAGGCAATTGTTCCATTTGGAAGAGAGCCGAGGGAGGCCAAAAACCTGCCATGCCTCCGCGCAGCAGCAGGCGAATATTAAAGAATTGATTGAGCTAAGGGGGGGCCATGAAATTCCTCGGCTCAAATTTGAAATAATGTTGGATGAGAGACCGAGAGACGAGGGGCAAAGCGACCTCGTGGGTTTAAGCCACAGAAGGGCATCTCAACCCCGCAGCCCTGACACCGCAGCTCAGCCGAGGCAAGCGGGAAAAATATCTCCCAAGTGTCAGACCTAAAGCAAGTCTGGATTAGTTTCCTCCCATTGCATTGAAATGGTGAGTGTGCCCAGGGCGGGTGAGCAGAGAAACATT